ACAAGGCGATCTCGTTGAGATCAGATTAACTTATACCAGTACCCACAAGTACCCCGTGATCGCGTGAAGATTCCCGCACGATCACAACCCCATCCCTAACACGGTCAAGTTTTCCTCCGACACGAGTCCACCTGGAAGAGTGCAACCCGCCCTACCGACGGGTACACAGGGTGAGGAAGGCAACACACACGGAATCGAAGTAACCCCTCCGTTAGTCGGTCGTCGGGCGCCAGTGGAGAGTTGGGATCGACTCGGGAAATGAGCGATTGCCACTCGCCACGGTTTCAATATATATATGACATCCTGCGTTGTGATGTCCTTGTTTTTAAAACCTGATGAATACTTTAAAACACATGGTTTCATCACTGCATCCCACGATCACGCTCACTTGGGCGCGCGAGCGATTTTTGCTTGAATCATGGTAAGCGGTTCAGTAGGAGTCAAACACAACAATGATGCGCAAATCTGGCGGTTTTTCGTCAGAACTTCAAGCGAGCAACGCCCGCATAGGCATTGAAATTACTAGGGCTCAAGTTCAGCACATACGTGAAGTATTCAGCTGCATCAACCCAGAACGTAAAGTAAACACAGAAGCAAAATTCATCGCTCGTGTCATGTTCATAACAGTCCTGCGCATTCTCATAGCTTTCCCATTCAACGCTAAATTTGGGGTTTACTCACGTTCTTTCAAAGCCTATCGATTTGCAGTAGAGGTCAACATTTTGATTTATGAGAATGCCATCAGTGCTGAGAACTGCAATTCTGCACTCGAGTGATCGTAATAAGATCGCCAAGAAGTGTTCGGCACTTTTGCCGCAGCTTTCTTTATTCGTACCAGAAATACTTGGCACTACATATTTTTGTAATCGATAACAATAATCAAATATCGATATCCGAGTCAATCTGCAGGTGTCATTGTACCCTTACGATTCGAGCAGAGGACGCCGCCGATACGGTTGATCGGGGCGTTCTTTCCGGGGTCATTTTGGCGCTGCTTGTTTTTTTCTGCTTGTTTTGTGCGCAAGTGATGCATGTCATCCGCTTGCGGTATGTCAGTTTGATACCCGAGCTTGGATTTCTTGCGATCTTCTCGATCGCGTCATACCGCACATCGCAACCTCTATAGCGACGGGCTGAAATTTGCGCAACGCCGTCTTCTTCCACGTAACGTTGCGACAGCGTCTCGGCTTTATCTTGACTACCAGCCAAGGGGACCAGTCAACGTAAACTATTGAAAAGTCTTAAATGAATACAAACTCTGATTTATACTTCTTAAACCACGTGTCATTTACACTGCACCGATCCTTGCACGAGTTTTAAATAATGTGTCTCACGTCCTGGTCAAACTTTCAAACCATGCCACCTTATAGAATATTCCCATGTAAAAATCCGCTCGGCGCCAGCCCTGAATCCAATACCTTTATAAGGACACATCATCAACTTTCGATTCATGGATTGTGATCCTGTAATGCATTGCATGTGGTGGGAGACAGCGACATGAACACCCCTTAGATACGGTGGCATCGACCTTTGTGCCACCACCGACTTCGACTAGACTGTACGAAGGCAAGGCGGTGTGCGGATGGCCTTTGTACCCGCAGCTGTACTCACCACAACCGCGTTTACAACAAGATGGTGAAAAGGCTGCGAGCGTAGCGATGACTTGCGAGAATCGCGGCAGACTTGTGCGAATGTAAACATTTCACTGATTGATGAAACAACATCTGTGAATTGAAGCGGACGAGCGGCTGCAGGACTGTTCGGCACGTGAAAGAAGCCTGCGCGCCTCGTCGCAAATGTGCACATTATTCTTGGATGGATCATAGAAGAATTGCCTCTTCATTTTATTGGTCGCGTAAACCTCCTACTTAGCTATCACAGGTATCGTAAGTAATTCACTTTGGCCTAAACGCTCACAGGAAAGTAAGAAAGTGGAAAATTATTGTCATGTATCTCTTGTGATGACGTCCGGCTGATAGCCCACTTGTATCATAGTGTGTATTGTAATGCAAGAGCTGTATCTGCAGTCACTTATAAGAAGTATACCGATAAATCGAAATGGTTCCCTCACCGAAACACTGCAACTTCGGGTTCCAACGTATGGGATTAACTTGGTGAGTGTTTAATAAAATACATCTCATATGATACTGCTCAGATACACTCTTCGTTTCCGAAAAGGACATCGCCTACTCGCATTTGAATCAGTACAAATACGCTACTCAATGCGCTATAGAATGATTCGTAGCGGACCGTCCGTTTGAATCTGTTCACATTTGCGTTTGTTCACCGCCAATTTGTTAGGTTTACAGGATCTGGGCATTTACAGCTGGTCCAGCAAAAATGTGGCATTTTTGGAAATCTGGTTTTCCAGACTCGTCAAATTCAAATGTGAAGCAGGTTGAGGTTGACGAGACGTTTGGACGTATGCACAATGCGTAGTATCCCCAGCTACCATTTACCAGTATTTAGAAGCCGTGTTTCTGTAATCGATGTAGACAAATCGCATGTCGCACGGTACCGCTTGGGTTTAATCGCTTAATTCTATCCAAAATTATTCATATTCAAAATGCTTTCAGTCTACGTAAACAAAGTCATTGCTACTGTAATAGAAATGACTGAAACTGCACATTTTTTGATGAGGTCCTTTATTAGCATACATCTTGTAGGCTTTCCACCACTTCAACGTCTTGTAAGATCCATCTAAGATTTTCGGCTGCGCTGTCCTTCGAGCACCATCTTCATGCGTATCACTTCATATTTTGAGTATTAGCACTGACAAACGGGCCAGCATTCATCTGCGCGTTCCGCCCTGTATCAACACTAAGTATTAAAAGATAAAGGTTTTCTGTGTCGCTACTCCAAAATTTTCACAAAGCTAGCAGATCGTGTAGCACATGCTGACGTAGAGATCAGAAGACAGAACATTGCAACGTCTCGAGGGCTGTAGTTTTGATATAAATGGAACAATGAGGAGAGAAAAGCACTACTGACCAACCTGCGGAGCAGTCTCATTCCGGCATGTATATGCGACAAACCTTTACTCGAGGTATCCTTGCGCATGCGTTTTTCGATACTATGTTGTTGTGGGTTGAACTTTCCATCAGCGATAATGTTGGACATCCCGTATATTGTCGGAGCGAGTGCACCATGACTTTGTCACCTTTTTGTGTCGTCGTTGTTGACAAACAAATCCATTCCAATAGTCAGAGAAAGCCACAAATCGATGGGAGAAGTCTACCCTTTACAACTAAAGTCTCACTTTACTCGGTCGAGCTTATCATTTCGGCATGTAATAGTTCTAGACGCTCGGTATTTGATACCGCTCCACCGTTATCGATGGTGTGAGCAGGTGCTACATACCTTCGCACGTCTATACTAAATCTCGTGGTCAGTGCTTTTTGACTATGGTAGCAGCCCATCGCTGTATCGCTCGTCCGGCGACGAAATCACACAAACGATGAACAACGTGAGCCATTCGAGGATCCATAGATTCCTCTCAACTTTGTGTCCGGGACTTCCTCACGTATCAGTGAGCAACATAAAAGACCACTGTATATTTATGGTACGACAAAGTGTTACTCTCGTTCAGAAGATCATTAGGATTGACAGGGACGGTCACTTTTAAGCAGAAGACTAAGCAACACATCAACCATATGTTGTGGTTCTTTCAGCGCCATACTTTCCGTCTCTTTTAATGCCGGTCAATACGTGTACAACGATCCTTTTGCAGTCATTCTCATGCAGCCCCAACTGATGCGCTTCTGTCAAGAATAAGACGCCCGCCTTTACAATCGTGGCCAGTTGAGCGCTGCGTGACCACTGCTCGCATCGAGGTACACCTACTCCCGTATTTATTGCCGGCAATCAATCCCCTGTCGCGGTCAAAAGAAATTCGGTGGTCACGTGATGTCAGGTCTATCGCGTGGATCAAGTGTGGCGCGATGACATAAATGCACGATGAGTCACGGGATGAGTAATTTTATGCAATACCGACATTCGAAAGAAGATCGATGTGTCATCAGTGAGAGGCATCGAGGCAAGACGACAAGCTCATACTTGCAGATTCGCGTCCTGCTGACAGCCAGGTAAAATGCACATGAAGATGTCAAAGCGGCTTTGCGATTTTCGCCACAAAAAATGGAGGACTAATTCCTTTGCACGTATGTAATCACGCAGTGTGCAGGTTGCAGCGGGTGTACAATCATCAAGATGAGGCTTCACCCGCCAGTGCAGCCGTGCTCGCCTGCACTTGAAGCTGTGATTATAACTCCTCCACGTACAATGATTGACCCTATCGCACAAAATACAGCATTTGTAAATAGTACTGCGCAGTTTCGTCGGACGTGTGGACGTGTGGCGCTTTTTCTTCCTAGCACATAAATTTGGGCCCAAGTCAAAGCCATGGCACTTAAGGTCCTAGTTTACACAAGCTAGTGCATCCTCGGTAAATGCTGCAGTACACCGATACGGAAAAGTACAAACATGATGGACAGCACGACACCTTGCTTGGATCCTTGTGCTCTCCGAGTATCGTGCTCTTCAGAAAAAGCACATGTGTCACAAATGGCTACAACATCCATGAGCTGGTATCGAGCAAGTATTGAGCCTCGCATAAAGTTCTTTGAGCTCCATGAACATTTCCTAATGCTATTAGCACATTTCTGCCAGTGTGGAATCGCGTAAAGCTTGCTTGCGCACCACCTCGAGCACTAAACGGAGTGTGCAATCTGATTCTTTTCGACTTGTGAATCGGCCCACTCAACCTATGCGCACCTTTGTAGGTCTTCCCAGACCGAATCTGTGACCCTGTCAATGCCAGTCCAACTCCGCTCAGATCGTTTCGTCCCACAGCTCAGGACACGCATCGCCTCAGCCTGATCCAAACGACCTCTTGTCCCGCCTCCACCTGTTTGCGATCTTCTCCGATCCCGACGCGGCTTTACGCCCGATCGATTGATGTTCCCCACACTAACCGCCGCCACTCGCGTTTGAACCTCCTTATGGAGTGGCTCGACGTTGCGAAGGACCTGAATGCTGGGACGATCGGAGGCGTCGCGGGCATCATCACTGGCCATCCGTTAGACACGGTCAAAGTCCAGCTGCAGACGAGCCACGACGTGGGTGCTGGAGTGCTCCGTACCCTGCAGCGGGTCGTGCACGCCCAGGGCCTCGTCGGTCTCTACCGCGGACTGCTGTCCCCGATCCTGAGCAACGCGCCGATCAACGCCGTGGTCTTTGGCGTGCAGGGCCAAGTCGTCCGTGGGTTGCAACTGCAACACGACCGGCCGCTATCGAGTGTCGAGCACTTTGTAGCGGGCTCCAGTGCAGGACTCGTGCAGGTTTTGTTTGCGGCGCCTTCGGAGCACGTGAAGATCCAGGTGCAGACAGGCGCGATCGGTCAGCACGTGAGTTCGCTTGGGGCTGCAAAGACCATTTACCAGACACATGGGATGGCGAAGCTGTTCAAGGGCTGGCAAGTGTGTCTCCTAAGAGACGTGCCTGCATTTGGAGCCTACTTTTGTGGCTACGAGGCCACGAAACGAGCGCTGACTGAAGGCGAGAGCTGCAACGAGACGGACGTGAAGCTTATGGTGGCGGGAGGCATGGCTGGGATGCTCTCGTGGGTCGTGAGCATGCCGCAGGACGTGGTCAAGAGCTGCGTACAGAGTCAGAGTCTCGACGGCAAGCAGATGGGCATAACACAGATGGTCCGGTCGAGACTGCAGCAGGAGGGACCACGGTTCTTTTTCAAGGGCTTTAGTGCAACGATGCTTCGGGCGTTTCCAGTCAGTGCAGTGACGTTCTTGGTCTATGAGAAGACGATGCAGTACATGTCCTGATCGTTGTGTGGTGGTGACAATGCAATGGTAAAGACGGTGTGACGGCTCTGCCTGGTACAATCGCAGCTTTTGGCTGACTGTTGATGGACATGCTGATTCGGACCTTGAGGTCCATGGCACCCGTGCTTGTGGACGAGCGATGTGAGTCTGCTTTGAGCAAAGATGTGTGTGAGTAGTATGTTGTGGAGTTATTGTCTAGAGTACTTGACAGGATTGTGGGTGTCTGTCTCGTCCAGATAGGCCTAAAGTGACAAACTCGGTGATCTCCCGTGTCATTTCTTGTGCTCGTGTGCGAGGTGTAGCTGGGCGACGGTTATAGTCTATACGCAGGAAAGTGAGTGTGCTCTCTGCAGAGTACCAATTTGGGGCCAAGTAGATCGTGACGGACGCAAAACAGCTTCCTCACACAGTTCTAATTGCGAGCCTAATACCCACTTCTACGACATACTGCATCAACTCTTGGTCCAAACCATGCCATGTCTTACTGATTGACACCGCAGATCAGATGAAGACCGGTCGGTGCAGATACACTACTGATCAAACCACCAAGAAAGACATCTTCACGACTGGATCGTCCCCGTGCCGCCGTTGCTTCAGCGACACGCACTCCAGTCATTTTGTGAAGGCTCAACCACACACCCATGATATTGTACCGAGCCTGCTGCACCGCGTCCAGCCCGCTCTGTTCCGTAACATTGCAGGTAGTTTGGAACTTCCTGGGTTGAGCCAATACACGCCGCCCTAAATGACATCACGAGATCCGCTCCGACCATCTTCCTACGAATGACCTCATTAAATGTCCGTGTCAACAATGAAAAGCATCCATCGCCCGGTCGCTGAATTCATCGCCACTCCTTTTCACATCGCCATCCTCCGATCAAACGAGTTCGGGCCGTACCCTACAAGACGACGGCCTTGACATACGATAAGCCGCAACTGAGCAGGTGTACACATCTCGATTTACTGTGGTACCGGCTTGCCAAGATTGCGAAGCCATCGCATCCTACATTGCTAAACGCACTGGTAGGTGATCCGTGACACGGCAGAATTTTGATCATAGATGCTACGATAAAGTAGCGTAACTTGCATGCAGTATGAGCGAGAGATCTCCTTGAAAAATGAAGGAGTTGAATCACGGCGGACCTGAACCAAGCGACGACTGTCGGCTCGTAGTACTTGTCGTACATTGGCTTACGAAACAAGGAAACGGCATATCACAAGGATGTCACGAGATCCCATCTCCTGATCTTTGTGCAACAATGTAAAGCCGAGACTTGCAATGTGTGGGGTGGGCACGTCGATCCACTCGTATACGATCTGGTAGCGACTGCAGCTTCAGCTTTTCCCCACAACACTCACACTGTGACACAAGTCACATGTCGGCTGGACATTGTCAACGGCATTGTGTAACTGTTTTCTAATCTTGCCGCTTTTTTCACTGCCTGTCTTACACCAATGCAGGTGGGGCAAGACAGATCTTCCGAGTGAAGGAGTCAAGTGATGTCCGATCAACCCGAGCTATCTTTCTGACACACACGACCAAAGAAGCTGTAGAGAATATCCACGAGAAAGGAATTGGCGTGTGAGGTCGTCAAATTATTCGGTCTTCACGCCGCCGAGATGATGTTACAAAATGACCGACCAGCTCAAGGTCAGTGGGCTTGATTCTAACTGCTGGAGTGGTGATTGCAGTACTGTTGCGTGTGATATCTCAATCAACGACCCAGGGCGGGCGCGGAAAGATGCATCAAAGCGAAGTGAGTGTCACGTTGATCGCCACAGCATATGACCGTCTGCTGTACAATTGTGCGCGAACGTGACAAAGTGGGACAGAAAGAGAGACAAAATGAACTGCTAGCAGTCCACGTATGTATTCTCGACGGTGCCTCCAGAAATACGCATCATGATGAGAAACAAAGGTACGATGCGCATCTTCAACCAATGCACTAAGTCTTCCTCCCAATGACGTCGACATCAGTGCGTAAAGAGATACGTTCTAATGATCAAACACGGTGAAGACACAATGCTGCGGATCCGGTCTCGGGTTCGCAAGATCGTTTTTAGCTATCACATGCCGCACCATAGTACATCCTCGTAGAAAGCGCACGGATAGAGTTGCTCGTTCCGCAATTCATCCTACAAGTGGCACGACTTACGGCGACATGTCCACTGATTCAAATCCATGCAGTTTCCTTCACTGGTGATGCTGCTGGGAATGCACGTCGCACAATATGGTGCCGTGCCAATCGGCATTCGAACCAATGCACCTCGTCGGCAGCGACGGTGTCTATCGGTTACGTACACGAACAACAATATGCACTCAGGATGCACACATTACTCATCAAGTAGGTGCTCTTTAGCACGATATGCAATTCTTCGGGCAGCATACGCGGCAGTCAGGGAGAGGGCGGAATTGATTTGAGGAAGTCCATGTAACTCTGCAGTCCTGGTTTTCCAAGCATGTTATACACTTCAGCTGGCGGCTTTATCTCAGCATTCCATTTTCCAAGTAGCGCTCTCATTATGTAAGTAGCCATTTCGCCGGGTTTCGAGTCCTTGTACGCAGCGAGCATATGCCACAGGACTGTTTCCGAATAATGCATCAGGAGCATATCCAGGAGGGCCACGTGCTTGTCTGTTGTATCCGGAAACTGACGTCGGAACAAACTGGCGTACTCGATCCAAATTTTCAGCTCCTGCGTCCCTATGATACTATTCACGTCCTTGTCGAGACCGAGCAACCGGAACACCTCGTCAGGAGATTTACCATTGTCCAACAACCGTCGGAAGAGCTTGGTCTGCACATCTTTAGTCATATCTTCCGTCGCTTGGTTCTCCTTCAATACAATCAGCATCCGTGAAAGGAATTCATCATCGTCGAGCTTTCGGAGAGCATCCATTTTTTTCGCTATCTCGCCCGCGTGTATCTCTCTGGCTCGTCGGATGTAGTCATCCATTCGATCGATGGAGCGAAGACTCAGCTTTGTAAAGCTCAGACCAATTGGTGAGGACACCGCTCGATCCTCAGCTTGCGCATCCACGAAGGACATCGAGTGCTTGTTTGAAGAGCTCTTTCTCGGGTCAATGTGACCAGATTGAGTAGATGCGTCATGCATCGAGTCTGGCGCCAGCGAATTTAATTCCTCAAATCCGAAGCAAACGGTATTACTCAGCAGAAGGTTGACCAGCAAACGCATAGCTGTATGCCAAAAGTGTTTATGTTTCGATTTCATTGAGTAAAGACGATGAATCGCGAAGTAAAAACGTACGAGTCTCACTTATGGATGGCAGTCACGAGAGGTAGCTGTACAGCAAAACGTTCGTCACTTCAGGAATCGGTTGACTGGAAGAAAGTGAATCGAGGAGTGAAGCGTATGACTTGCAGTTAGGGATGAAGGTTGAGCGAGCAGTTGTAGAAGAAAGACTTGTTGAAGCTCCAGGCCACTTTAAGTGAAGTATATTGAATATATAGGTTTAAAGCGTAGGGGAGTCACAGTGAAGATGACACGAGGCGGTTCTGTACATCGCTGGACTTGGCCAAATGATGAACATCGGAGGGCACAAAGTTGAAGCTTGGGAAGTAACACGACCATAAATTGGCAGCCATGATTTGTATGGTGCCACCGAGAGAGAGGTTCGGCTCGTCTTTTTTTACACAGCGTTAGCATATGCAAGACCTTTTGCAAAGCCAAAGCCAGGATGTAAGAGCCGGCGGTCGCACCACCACTGGTCATCATGGAGTGGAACACCCTCTGGGATCGCGCTCGAACAACTCGATATGTACATGCAGCATGCCACTATTAGTGGCAGACGCTATTTTTCTGTGTCCTCCGTCGCAATTGCTCAGGTTTGACGGAGGCATGGAGAATTAATCACAATCGTGGCGTCGTGGTGGACAGCCGCATTGCGGGCGACTAAAATTTGCATCACTCATGGTTGCGAGGACGAGTCATACGGTCGTCGAGACGCGCCTCGACTGCGACGTAATCATCCTAAATTCGTCCACCAAGAGTGCGATCCTATACGATTTGAAATCGTGGACTTGTCTGCGAACGCAGGCATATTAATTAAGGGTTGTGGAATGGCACCGCACAAAACCGGGGTTGTCCTACCCCCATTTTGTGCGCTGCCATCATCAGATCTTCGAAGAATTCTGCCTACAAGTACGTAACATTTGAAAGCTCCGATTTATTTTGGGCGACAGGCGGCGAAATACACATGGTCGAGCTTGTAATGTCAATGGGACAATGTTGCCGGTCGACACAATGATTCATACACAGCTGTGCTGAAGTACACATCGTAGGTGACTTTACTGATTGAGCTTTTGGCTTGCTGCACGCGAGCTTGATGGAAACCTGAATGCAAAGGCCACATGCTGCATTCATCTCGTAACTACGGACGATGGATTGCTAATTCGAATGACGATTGGGCGATGTTGCACATCTTCGAGCTCAGCCATAAGCTTATCTCTTGGATCAAAAACGATGTTGCTTGCATAATGATTATACTACGTACCAGTTTGCTACAGCGCGCTTCCAGATTGTTGTCTGCCCCCGAAGAATGTAAGTTTGTTTGTGTTGTACGATCGCATGCGGCGCATTTTACCTTGGTTGCATAGTGTTGTGCCAGCTTGGACCCTTCTTCATCCACTCAGCCATATTGCAGTGTCGAATTCCAGTAAATCGAAGCGTATAGTAGCATTGTTGCGCACAGTTTGTTCGTGCCACAGGACGAGTAAGTAAAGTCCGGTCAGAGTTGCATTTACATGGACAGGATTTGACGCTGCCGAAATTCGTGCTCAAATCCCCGACTCCATAAGCGCACTCAATCGACCTAAACAGGCTCTACAGCGCTTTAGGTTGTTACAACAGTAGTAGTCGTGCAGGTAGATTTGAGAAGCGGAAGAGCTCAACTCACAGTTCAATACTCCAGAAAAATCCGATGATCTAGCAACTTGCCAGGAGATCATATCAAACCTTGACCCTAGACAAATGAAAATAATGGCGGGTGATTAAAACCGATGGACTGCATCATGTAGTATGCCTGATCAAGAAAGTCGAAAGTCGACAGATATGCGTACCAGCTGATAGGGAAGCTTCAGCCCATACGGCATTCCCTCACAAACGCCATGTATGGGTAGTAGTAATACAATCGGTACGTACTGCATCGCATTTTTCGAATCATTTGGTTCTTGGCCGGTCACAGCGCAACAAAACCTCTACTGGCATACTTGCTTCCAAGACGATTGCAAGCATGTGGTAGTAATTTTTCAAACTGTTTTTGCGAGTATCTTCATTCTCACAACTAGGAACACCTACATCTGGTCGATAAAACAGTGCACTTAAAAGTTGTTTGATACCGATCTCAACACACGGTGTAAATCTGCTTCGATCCTGCAGGAAAACTTCCCAGTTTTGCTAGCGCGACCGAATTTCATCCATGGCATTATAGATCATGCCAGATCGCTACACCCTTAGCACAACGGGATCGAAAAAGGAGCCACAGTGGAGGTATGTGTGTGATATCATCTATGCGCTTGAGAGCGATACTAATTGAGAAGAGATGTGTCGGAATGGCGTATGAGCATCTTTCGGAGTCAGTACGTTTGCGAGCGAAATTTCCAAGATCTACTGCGTATCCCAATCTCAAACTAGTGCCTCCGATCATAGTGTGGTTTTAGCTTTGAATTCACCACGTAATACACGGTAAACCACCATCACCTGCTCATGGATCGGTGCTGGAATATACGGGACGATAGGCCATTTAATTTCTACAACTATTGTTTGTATGCAAATGGAAGTGTGCGTGATGACAAGCGGCAGTGTCAATAGATAAAGTACAATTGCCGTGTCCAAGCATGCTCATAGAAGCGCAGTTGCATTTGCTTCAGTAAGATTCATCAAAGCGGTCTCTAACTGCACATTTGTAGCAAAGCCAACCGCAAAAGCACACAGCTCCATTTACTCGATAAGACACGTGCACTTCGCACGAGATCATAATTAAAAGTTTTGCCAGACCTAATTTGCTAACGCGGTTCATCATGCCTTTATCTTCTACCATTCAACGGAAGCTGAAGCCAAGAACGCTGGGCACAAACCGCTATGAACCTGCCGTACTCTATTCTCCGGTCGTTGTGAGCGTGTCCACCAGTTTGGGCTGGTAAGGCCAAATTGATGTCCCATAAATCTGCCTACTTTATTCTTTTGGCCAGACATACACTTTAGGCAGGCTCGTAGAATTGCGCGAATGTATTGTGCAAAAGCTGGCGATGGATTTGGACTGGATCACAAATAACTTAAAAATGTTGCATGTTGAATGGGATTGTTGGATGGGATTGCTGGTGCTGGTTAAGGGGGAAAGTAATTACGCGAGATGTCGTCGTGAAAGTCGATTTATAACAACAAGTAAACATTTCTTCAAGAGTTGCAGCTTTCTTGCTGAAAAACGTTCGTGAACTATTATCATTTTTCGTGTCCTATTGTTTACGCATTGAAGATCTAGATCGTAAGAGCACAGCACACGCTGACGTTCTAGTGCAGATGATTGAAGGCTGCAGAATACAAAGCTGCAACCAACCATGTCGCCACTAAGATGGCGGGATCTAAAGACGTCGTTTGCAGCCGCAAGGAGTGGCGTGATATCAGTGACTTAAATGCATTATTTCCATTAATCAATTATTACCACCTGCCGGCCCGATCAAAGATTTTGATCTGTGGACAAGCACGCTCGGGGGAATCAAGCCAGGCACTTTAACGACACTCTTTGTACTCTCCAGAAACGCGTCTCGAAAGGAATTGAACGCTTTCCCCCAATAATCGATTTTGTACCAAAGAGAAGTTCTGAAAATGCAAAGATCTACCGTAAACATGCAGGTCGAGCCCCATTTAGTTGGAAAGTTGACGATTCCCGTGAGTGGGGGTTCCTCGAGTTGGTCCATCATGACAAGAAAGGGAACGATACTCTCCTACAGCCAACTGCACGTTATGAATCGATTACGATGTCTCTTTCAATCACTATCTCCCAGGTGAAACAGAGCAGAAGCACGTGACGTCCATCGCCGGGGTAAGTTGATGGGGAACCCCAATTTAGACACATCCCTGTTAAATACCTTGCGTAGCTTGCGGTGATAAAATACTGACACAGCCAAATTAAAAGATAGACCGATCACTTAAACTTGAGACCCCAAGTCTTACAAGGCTACAACGCAATCACGAGCTTACGTTACAGATAGACACCGTCGCTTTTTGAAAGCAAGTTGTATGGTTCAAATGTTCAAATGGCCCTGTACCATATTGTGCGACGTGCATTCCCAGCAGCATCGCCAGTGAAGGAAACTGCATGGATTTGAATTAGTGGACATGTGTGCGATTAAAAAGTACCACTTGTAGGATGAATTTACGCAAACTATGAAGCTCTATACGTGCGCTTTCTCTGAGGATGTACTATGAGGTGGCACATGATAGCTAAAAACGATCTTGCGAGCGAGACCGGATCCATAGCACGTATGTCTTCATCATATTTGATCATTAGAACGTATCTCTTACGCACCAGTGTGAGCGTCATTGGGAGGAGGACAAAGTGCATTGGTTGAAAGGTGCGCATCGTACCTTTGTTTCTCATCATGATACGTATTTTCTGGAGGCATCGTCGAGAATACGCGTGGACTGCTAGCAGTTCATTTGTCTCTCTTTCTGTCCCGCTTTGTCACGGTCGCGCACAATTGTACAGCCAGACGGTCATATGCTGCAATAATGATCAACGTGACCTCACTTCGCTTTGATGCATCTTTCCGCGCCCGCCCTGGAATTGTTGGGTGAGATCTATCACACCAACGCAGTGCTTTGCAATCCCCACTCCGGCAAAGGTTGAAGGATCAAGCCCACTGACCTTACCGAGCTGGTAGGTCATTTGTAACATCATCTCAGCGACGTGAAGACCGGGCAGAATTTGACCTCACACGCCATTTCTTCTCGTGGATATTCTCTACAACTTCTTTGGTCGTATGTGTCAGAAAGATGATAGCTCGGGTTGATCGGACATCACTTGACTCCTAACCTCGGAAGATCTGTCTTGCCCCACCTGCATTGGTATGAACGACAGGTAAAGAAAAAGCAGCAAGATTAGAAAACGATTACACACAATGACGTTGACAATGTAAGCGACATGTGGCTTGTGTCACTGATGTAAATGTTAGTAA